GGGCAGGTAAACAAGCCGGCTTCTCTGTACCACACCGGCCAAATGCGCCGCGGTCCCGGGGCCGGGCAGCCCCAGCTTCTGCCTTCCCCTCTCCCCCCTCCATCAATAACCAGCACCAGTGAGGTCCCGGCCGGGGAGGGGGGGGAGCCCAAAGGGCGTCCCCCACCAGCCACGGTGGGACAGGGAGAGTTGGGGGTCGGGGGGGGGAAACACTCGGGGCTTTTTGCCGTCTCTTGAGCTCAGACGTCACGCACGAGATTTTGGTTTTTTTGATTAAAAAGAAGCCGGAAAGGTCAGTGGCCGTGGTGGGGGGACGGGGGGACACAGGGTGGGGGAGCTCAGGGGAGAGGCACGAGGCCACGCGTGGTCCCCACGCAACCGAACGATGGCGAAGAGAGAGAGAGAGAAAGAGAGAGGAAAAAAAGGGGGAGACACGGGGCCAGGAGAGCCTGGGGGGGCCGAGCTCTTTCCCCCAGAGCCCGCGAGCTTCTCTGTAGCCTACGCCCACGGGAATGGGGGGAAAAAGCCTAACAAGGCTGATTTTTTTTTTAGATAGATCTCAGTATTTTAGCTTTTTGGGAACTTCCCAGGGGAAACTGTCCCTACCAAAGTGGCCATAGGCTGCGGTCCTCTGATAGAGGGGCTTCTTCAGATCCAGATCCCTGGAATATACAAGTCCTCAACTCAGTAAAGAGGCTCCCGGCCCCCACGCTCGCCCCTTCCCTGCCTGGCCGGGGGGTCTGCGGCGGCGCCTCCGTGTCCTCCCCCCCCCCCCCCAACCCCCCCCCCCCAAGACTCCGGAGAAGCTCCAAGCGCTCGGCTCTGGGTGGATACTTACCCCCGTCCGCGCCCGAAAGCGCTTTTATCCTCCGGCAGAAGCGGCTCCGTGCCGGGTCCGGCTGCGCCAGGCGGTGACCGCGGCTGCTCTGGGGAGGGGACCCCCGCACGCTGCCACCGCCCCCCGTCTGTGTCCCCCCCAGCTCTCCTCTCCCAGCGGCGCACGTTTCCCCCCCACACTTCTCCGGCGCCCGTTACCTGACGATCACCCCGGGGCGCAGGTCGAAATTCTTCTTGACGATCTCCAGCAGCTCCCGCTCGCTCTTCTGGGAGGTCCCGTAGTGGAAGATGGAGATGGACAAGGGGTGGGACACCCCGATGGCATAGGAGACCTAACAGGGAGGGAAGGGGGGTATAAATTAATCCCGAGGACCCCCCCGAAAGGGTGGGGAGAGGGAGAGACCCCCCACTTTGCACCCACCTGCACCAGCACCCTGCGGCACAGCCCGGCCTTGATCAGGGACTTGGCCACCCAGCGGGCGGCGTAGGCGGCCGAACGGTCCACCTTGGTGTAATCCTTCCCCGAAAAGGCCCCGCCGCCGTGGGCCCCCCAGCCCCCGTAGGTGTCCACGATGATCTTACGGCCTGTCAGACCGGCATCACCCTGCGGGGAGGGACACACACACACACACAACACCATTGTCACCCCTGTGTCACCGGCACCACCGCGCCGGATGGCTTCACCGGGCAACCGGGCACACCTGGGGACCACCGATGACGAAGCGGCCGCTGGGCTGGAGATGGTAGATGGTGTCGTCGTCCAGGTACTTGGGGGGCACCACCGCCTTGATCACCTTCTCCTTCAGCGCATCCCGCATCTCGTCCAGGCACACCTCCTCGTCGTGCTGCACCGAGATGACGATGGTGTGCACCCGGATGGGGATGACCGCGCCACGGTCCTGCATGTACTGCACCGTCACCTGCCGGGGGGGACGAAAAGGGCGTCAGGGAGCTCTGGGGAGGGTTTTGGGGACCCCCCCGAGGCAGCGGGGGATTGTCGGGGGCCTCACCTGTGTCTTGGAGTCAGGGCGCAGCCAGGGCAGGGTGCCGTTCCGACGCAGCTCGGCCAGCTTGGCGTTCAGCTTGTGTGCCAGCACGATGGTGAGGGGCATGCACTCCTCCGTCTCGTCGGTGGCGTAGCCAAACATCAGCCCCTGTGGCAGAGGGAGGGGGGGGGACATGAGGCCACAACCCCTCTGATCCCCCCGCGGGAGCTCGACACGGGGCGCAGGGCACTCACCTGGTCCCCGGCGCCGATGTCCTCCTCGCTGCGGTCCAGGTGGACGCCCTGCGCGATGTCGGGCGATTGCTGCTCCAGGGCCACCAGCACGTTGCACGTCTTGTAGTCAAAGCCTGAGGTGAAGAGAGGCTGCCGTCAGCCCGGCGCCCCCGACCCCACACCGGCAGCGAGCCAGTGGGTGACCCCCCCAGCACGTACCTTTGGAGGAGTCATCGTAACCGATGTGCTTGATGGTGTCCCGGACCACCTTCTGGTAGTCGACGGCGGCCCGGGAGGTGATCTCACCCGCCAGCAGGATCATCCCGGTCTTCGCCACCGTTTCTGAGGAGGAGGAGGAGGTCATCAGTGCCGGTGTCACCCACCCAGCATCACCCCACATCCCCCGGGGAGCAACTCACCGCAGGCCACCTTGGCGTCGGGGTCCTGCTTGAGGTGGGCGTCCAGGACGGCATCACTGATCTGGTCACAGATTTTATCTGGGGGGGACAGGGATGGTGGGAGGCTGTCGGGGCGGTGCGGCCCTTCCTTCCGGAGCCGCCGTCCCTCGGCACAGCCCGTTCCCGACCCGGCGCTAAGCCAGGAGCAGCCACCACGGCCCAGCCTCCCCTTAAGCCGGCGGCTCCCACCGCACACAGCCCTCGCCTTGTCCCCGTGCCGGGTTATTAGCCTGGAATTTCAGGCATTTACCAGTTAAGCTCCAGTTACAGCCAGGTCAGGACTGGGGTTCAGCCACCTACGTCACTGCCAAAGGGGACCCGGCACCCCCTTCCCCTCCCGTAACCGGCTCCCTCCAATCCTTGGGATGGTTCATTCTGGGAGAGGGAGATCCCCCTCCCGCCCCCAGGGCTTCCCAAGGGCCGCTCGTCAATAAGGAACTTCCCCGGGAGCAGGGATGTCCTTGGCGGCGACCTTTTGGGCCAGATTTGGGAGAGGATGAGGCTGGGCCGGGCTGGGCCGAGGGGAGGCGGGTTCTTGGGGTGAAAGAGCGCGGAAACGGACCTTACACCCGCATGCGGACAATAAATGCCCTTTTCTTTTGTGGTAGCGCGTGTGGGAGCTGGTAGGTGGGGAGCCCCAAAGGCTGGTGACGGCGCTGGTGACGCCGTGGGGGGGTTGTGGGTGCTGGTGGGAGTCGGGGCGGGGGGGGTGCAGGCAGGGGATGCAGGGAGGGAGGCGGCTCCCCCCATCGTGTGCCCCAGCACAAAGGCAGGGAGGGGGCTGGGACGTGGCCTGCCAATTCGGGGGAGAAAGCCCCCCACGGGGGGGGGGCGGGCACACCAACCCTCAGCCGGGGCGGGGGG